GAAGCCCATCCTATTACCATCCGCCCACTTCTGTAGTCTGTCTAAATCTAATTGCAGCCTCTCTCTCCCTTTGAGCTTGTCTACCTCTCCCCACATCTTGGTGTCATCGGCAAACTTGGACAACATGTGTTCCACCCCCTTGTCCAAGTCACTTATGAAGATGTTGAATAGTGTAGGCCCCAGGACCGAGCCCTGGGGAACCCCACTATTCACATCCCGCCAGGTCGAGTACGACCTATCCACCACCACTCTCTGGGTGTGCTCCATCAGCCGATTTCTGACCCATCCAACTGTGTAGGCATCAATGCCACAGTTACTCAATTTATTAATGAGAATGGGGTGAGAGACAGTGTCAAAGGCCAGAAAGACTACATCCATGGCGACACCATCATCCAGGGATTTCATTACCTGGTCATAAAAGGCCATCAGGTTGGTCTGGCAGGACCTGCCTTTGATGAACCCATGTTGATTTCCCCTGGGCATGATCTCCCCTGCTGGCCCCTCACAGATGTGATTCTTGATGTGATCCATGATCCTTGATCTTCTTTGCTACCTCCTTGAACTGCCACATGCTGCACACAGAGGCAGCCCTGCTACCCAGGGCACTCAAGTGCTCAGTTATGCCTTTGATTTCAGAGGGTTGTAGTTTATGACCAAAGTGAAATGGTTCACTAGAAGTAATAATGAAAGAACTCACTGGCCTACATGACAGCTAAAAACTGTTCCATGCTTCCTGTCAAAGAAGCTGGTTTTTGCTGTGATAGAGGCACAGGATCTCCTGGAGTTTCACCTCTAATAGTACAAGTGTTCACTTTGCCTAATAGGCAACTGAGGCTCTTCATCTACAGTTTCAAAGTATGATTTACTATCCATGAGCTCTCACTTATGTACAGATGCTTGTTTTGTATGCAGTGTTCAAGTCCCTTATAATAAATTATTCAGATGGAAAATACAGTCTCATTATAAATATGAAATCAGTTCCATTTAAAAATGTTCATACTTTTTAATTTTGAAATTCCTGAAATGCCCATATCAGAGCCTGTAGGTACAGCTACATAAATTATAAGAAAATTAAAGCATACTAACCTGACAGTATTAACTGATGAACATGGAACAACCTACACAAGAAAAAATCATGTTAACCCTGCCTCAGGCACCCCATAGGCAGAAAAAGTTGGGGTATGTGAAGCTTTGAAGTTCAACACATTTGTGTTTTATCAGAGTAGCAGGAGAACAAATCCCAGAGTCTCAGCCGCCAACAGAGAACACCTGGTCTGCACTTTGCACCCTCAGGATCGTGGGCTTTCAGAGAGAGCACTCTTGCTTCTCCCAACTGTTAGGGTGGAGTCCTGTTAGGGTGGAGAGGTATCCTCTAGGAAAATGAAGATTATAATTATTATTTCCTCAAAGCCTGTTTTGAATTGAAACTGGAACCACATCTTTATGGTACTGGTTTTCAGCCTGTGGTCTGCAGACCCCTGGGGGTCTGCAAAATATGTCTAAGGGGTCCATGAAAGATTACTATGATCAATCAAAAGATTACTATGATCAATCACAATTCACCAGGGGTCCACACTTCTATTTGAATTTTTTTAGGGGTCGACAAATGAAAAAAGGTTGAAAACCACTGCTCTATGGTATACTGTAGTCTAAGCAAGCAGACCCACATTGTATGAGTTTTTAAGCATAGTGTTATGTAAAGCACTCCAAAGTCCTCCCTGGTGGTGGTAAAGGCTTAGATAACACTGGGGAAGGCCACATCTAAGAGTAAAGGTCACAATTATTTTGCCAAGCATAGACAAAAATAGTGTTCTTGGCAACATGTGATCACTTTGAATTTAAGACTGCCCAAGGATTGTAAACCAGCTGAGTGATGGACTGATTTAGGAGGCAGCCTTCATTGACAAAGGGCTTACTGAGGCTGTGATGGAATTGAATGTTGCCCTACACTTGATCAGTAAATCACCCTTCCTAGACAGTCTCCTAGGTGACTTTAAGGGAGTGCAAAATTCATTCCCTGTGAAAGGATCTACAGCCCTGGCCCTTTAAAATTCTCCTTGGCTTGCCAAGGAGTGTCTGGGGAAACACAACCTGCCAATTTTCCTAGTCACAGGCAAAGAATAACTGTAATGATAAAGGATGAGCAGTTGTAGCTACTAACTGTTTTAAGGCCAAAGGAACAGAACCAGACTTAATACAAAAGGTGATTTTCTTTTCTGAAATAGCTGCAAAATATGTTCCAAACTGCAAATGCCATTAATTATTTCTCTGTTGTTCATTGCATCTGCCTGCTGCTCCTCGGACTCGGCAGAGAATCCTTCTAGTTGGTCCTAAATGCTGCTTGCTGCTTTTGTCCCTGAGTCATTAATTCTGCCCTCTGTTCTTCATTGTAGGCATGAAATTCTGCCACTTGGCCCCAGATGCTGGCTGCTCTTTTTCAACTTGATTCCATGATCATTTCTCATTTGTGCTGCTTTTGCATCGAAGTTACTGCTCCTGGCTAGGGATTCTCGAGGGGAGGAAGGGGTGGGAGGTACATTTTTGTATTATTTTAGAACGTGGAATATTTGCTTGGGGTTCCAGTTGTAAGAGATTTTGGCTCTCAGTCCTTAATTTCTTTCATAGTTTCATAGTTTTCCTTCCTTCTCTTTCCCCTTTCCCCTGAGCTGGTTTCACCTGATTTTTTATCTCCAAATGGTCTGCTCAGTCCTGTGCGTTTGGTTTGGGATGTTATTTGGCACTTATCCTTGATTCCTAGTAATGTACAGTATATTTGAATATCTGGATGTACACATGTTTTTTCCCACCTCCTTCTCTCGACCACTCAACAGATCGTGTTTTTAGTGAAACAGTGACACAATGCTTTGCCTGTTCTCCATGTGCCTGAGTATGCACAACACGTCCATGCTGGCCCCCAACAAAAGGAAAACAACATTACCACCATTTTCTTTCTCTGCCTCAGAGGTGATTATATCTCCCAGCGTGCCCCTTACATGTTGTATTGCTTGCTTTTTTCAACAGTGTGTATAATAGAATAGTGTTGGCAGCCCTTGCTAACTGTATGGAACAAGACTTCAAAACTAAATAGTGCTGTAAACACCATTAGAAACAATACATCTTTTGTAAAAGGAAAAAAGCCCAAACCTGTGATTATACAATTTATTTATGGTTAGCAAATTTAAATAATTTTCAGACTATTTGCATTAGATGTCTGTTTTCATACAGTGATATTTGTTTTGTCATTAATAATGGCTTGTAGAAAGTGACAACGATTTTGAATTGAATAGTAAAGCTGCAATTTAGGAGAGAATAGAAGTTTCATTTTACTACTGTAACTAGCAACAACAGAACTGTTTATCAATGCCTAATGGAAGTGCAGTGCATTCAGACAGTATCTTGAGCAAAGATGTGGCATCTGAGTTGCATAATATTTGATTTCATTAACCACATCAAAGCAAAATTTGTAGTTCTGTGTTCTGAGTAGCCTTTTCTCTTTTTTGCATGCGTGTCAATTTTGGTATGAACTGTAATTTGGCAAACCAGAATTAGCAGGTCAAGCAATATCTTCTTTTCTAAAATTATTGTGGTCTAAAAATGTTTTTATTGAAGCCCCTCAGATCTAAGGTTTCAGATTATGCTAATGTTTGTTTTTATAATGCTAAAAAGAACAGATGCCTAGGCCTGTGCAGTTGGGTTTCATTTTGTTCTTTGAACATTATTACAAAACTTGGAAGTCACTCCTATTAGCTCTCCAAACATACAATAGTCCTAATGCAGTTGCTTCCTCTGTACATCCTGGGCAAGCCAGAGAGAGCCACAGCCTCTTTGCACCCTTTAATTTCCATTGGGTGCACAAATTTTCCCAAAGTGTTCCTCTTGCTAGTCACACCTGCCTACTCAACTAGTCAGGTGCACTGGGGTAAGCAGTTTGCAGTGCTTAAATACAATCCCTCTCTCAGCCCCCTGTCTCGGTGCACTCTACTTCCTGCCCCAGACTCTCATTTTGGGCCACTGTATTGCCCAGTAGGAGTTCAGCTCACCAAAAGAGTTGCATTTATTTCTCTGGTACACAGATAGCACTGATATGTTTGCAAGTTTTGTGTAAGAAAACAGTTTTTTTCTATACAAAACAGTCAATGCAACCATTCAGGCTTTTATTTTAGATTGAGAAAAATAACTACAGTAATTGTTTTAATTTTGTATTGTGCTGAGTGCCCTCAACTCCTAAATTTAATGAGAAATTAAAGTTCTCACTATATTGAAGGGACAGTCGTATACAGTATAAAACTGTCCGTAGGTGCACAGGTATCTCCCTGTAACTACATTACTTGTATTAATACTGAACTCAGCTTCTGAATTTAAGGAGCAAGGCCACAAAGTTTACCAGGGTGGCTGGCACATTCAGCTCACTCGCCTTCTTATTGCTCTTGCCTCATAAATTTTATATTCCAGCTAGCACATACAAGTTTAAAATGGGATGGGTCTCTTCTGTTCTGATTTAGTGGGAAGCCGTTTTGTCTCAGAACTGAGTAGTTTGTTTCTAAATCTGTTCTTTGTTTGAGCACTTTGATGTATAACATTATTCAAAAGTTAGTATTTGTGTCATTAATAGGTTAAGGAATGTTGCAAGGCTGGGATAATGCCTTTGAATGTAATGTACAGTAATGTGCAGCATATTTTCTTACATGAGCTCCATTAATTCCTTCTGTCAAAGAAACTACCACCTGGAAAGAATTGGAAAGTAATTTGTCATAGCTACGATGCAACATAAATCAGGGTACTGGTTTAAATATCAAACTGGACATATCTAGAGTTGGCTTGGAAAGTGATTCCAGTACAATTTTTGCTAAGCCAGTAATATTGTAAAATTAAAGCAGCCACAATATATGTTTTATTTAACAAAAGCAGTCTGTTTATCTGCTGTTACCCTCCACTGCTAAGAACATGTGACTGGTTCAAAGATTATTTGAAAATAATTTGAAACTCTCTTCTGTTTTTAGAGAAAAAGGACCAAATTTATTGCCTGTGATTTCCTGACTGAGTGGTTATACAAGTAAGTTAATCATGGGTCTGAATTTCAAATACTCATAGTGATTCGGTAACATCAATTCACAAATAGAACAGCAACAACTGAGATGAGCTTGTGTTGTTTTCCTTTTTTATTATCAGTCAAAACACAAAGAGGAAAGATGAACCATTCACAGAATTCTTCTCTATCCCATTTGTGAAGGACTGGCTAAAAGACCAGTAAGTATTGTGCAGTACTCAAATAGGATGTATCCTTTTTCATATTCCTCTTCTCCCTCTAATTATTCCAAAAAGAAGTAATAGAGCTTAAATGTGTTTAATTTGTCCCCTTTAAATACTCTTTCCTATTCAGGCATAACAAAGGCCTCTGTGATGCTTGCTGACTTGGTTGTCCATAAGGTATTTTGTGCCAGGATCATTTGTACAGAAATTGGTTTGGGACTGCTAAACACTTCATTATTCTGAAGTGGAGGCCATTTCAAATTGTCTGCTGGTGTATTATGAATATCCTTATACTAATGAACAAATAACCCTGCTTTTAGGCACTACTTGGTGATACGATAACAGGGAGCTCTTTCAGGCTACATAGTCAGAAATTGCTTGCCTAACCTATGACCAATTTATTGAAAAATCCCTGCATACAGTTCATAATTTTGTGCCCGAGAGGTAACACTTTCAGCTTTGGGGGTGAAACAGAGACTTTGTCACTTTCCAGCTTTCTATATTTTCTCCTCAGGTTTGAGCTGTATTATAGTTTTAGAAGACTCTCTTTTGCTAGGTTGTATGAGTTTTGTTGTAGTGCTTTCAAAGAGAATAAAAGGAAGCAGCAGCCCACTTTGAAAGAGTAAAGAAGTTCCACTGGCCAGACTTGCAAGACAGTCCCTCTGCAGGCACCTTTAATGAAGAGGCCTGGTTTGTTGCTAGTGAAACCTCCTTAATGTGGAACATTTTTGACAATATGTCCAGTGTATTAATGGAAGGTGAGCTTTCTTGACATTTTTTTCTTATGGTTGGACTTGGAAATACCTAGACTCGAGTCACTGTTTCAGAGAGTGAAGAGCTTCATAGTATTCATAGACCTTTGGAGACAGCTTGGTGGTAGAGGAGTGGACAGCTACAACAGTACAGCAAGTTTGCCATGTCAATGTGCCTTAAATCTGTCATGGATGAACCTCTAATATGCTGCACCATATTAGCACTGTTTGGTGTTTGCAAAAAGTAAGCCAAGAGATTTCAAATAGGAATCTGCTACGTCAAAAAACATTCTCACCCTCTGTGGTTTTTCTGAGTTCTTTGCAACAGAATAATTACTCTTGATTTTTCTGTGCCCAAAATATGGGTCTAAAAAGTTAAGCACTGGCACTTTTTGAGGAGTGCCTTGAATCTAATGTGCGGGGGGAGGGGAAGGAGGGGAGTGGCTTAAGTCTAAAAAGGTTGAGAAAAACTGATTTAGTAGTTAGGAAGTTTCATTCTCCTTGTCCATTAGCTGTTTGTTCTCTGCCAACAATATTGCCAATGAAAGCTGCGGTTTATATGATTCAATTATAATGTTGACTGTTTATATATCCTGGATACAGCATTAGAGATGTAAACAGACTATGATTTTCATTTTACTTTTAATTTTTAGCCACATCATAGACCTGCAGTTTTTAGTTTTGGATTTTTTGAATTGCAGTTCATTATCAAAGTCTAGAAACTTTAAAAAATTTTAACAAATCTTGATATCAAAATTAACAATTTCTATCTAATAGGACAGAAAAGCAAGGAAACTTAAGGTGAAAATTAAAATAGCCCACATATAAGCATAGTAAACATCCAAACTCTCCTTAGTAAGATGTCTCAAATAACATTAGATTCACAGAATTAACATCGTGTGTGTGTGTGTGTGTGTGTGTGTGGGTATGTAAATTTTAATTTTTATATTTTGACAGTCTAGTTATATATTTTAACTTCTATCTATCATTTTCATATCATCACACTAAGTAGAAATAAAATTATTTTATAAAGAAGAAATACAACAATTCCCATCAGAATAGTACAATAAGTTATAAAGATTAGAGGTTCACCAATACGTCAGTCCAATATCAGAACAGTACTGATATAAAGAAAATTTGCTGTATCAGAAATCAGCCCAATAATTTGGCCGATAAAGAACCATGCTGCGCACAGCGGCAGCACTCAGGCAGCGAGGAGCAGAGCTGGCAGTTTGGAGAGCTGCGTGCAGCTGGTAGGTCCATTGTGGTGGAAGGGGAAGGGGCATGGGGAGGGCAGATCAACGCCCCCTCTGCAGTGATGAAGGTAGGGGGCAGGGGTAGGAGCTGCCCAGCCGGGATAGGGCAGGTACGGGACAAAGCTGTGGCTCATGGGGGAGTGGAACCTGCCACTGCTTGGACCCTGGGGGGGGGGGGGGGGGGGACGACACATGCCCCCCAGATCTGTGTGAGGCAGGGTGGGCAGGTAGGTTGTAGCTGTGAGCTGGAGCTGAGGCTGCGTGGAGCTCTTCTTGGTGGGGGCTGGGCTTGGAATGGGTGCCAGTGGCACTGGGAGGGGGCTGCAACCATCCAAAATTTCACCATAGCCTGGCTCCCAGAGCCACACCACTGTGTGCCCGCCTGGTGCAGCCTCGGCTTGTCCTGGTGCCTGGGTGGAGGCAGGGCATTGAGCCGGGGCTGCTCCAGGCAGCGCTGGGAGTGGGGCTACAGTGAGATTTGGGGTGGCTGCAGCCTCCTCCCAGCACTGCTGGTGCCCACTCCAAGCCCAGGCCCCACCAAGAAGAGCCCTGCACAGCCCCAGCTTCAGCCTCCAGCTGCAGCCTGCCTGCCCCACCCCGCGCAGATCCAGGGGGCACATGTCCCCACCCACCCTCCTGGGATGCAAGCAGTGGTGGGAGCTGCCCTCCGACGAGCCGCAGCTTTGTTCCACACCAGCAGTGCCTACCCCTGCCCCCTTCCTCACTGAGGGGGGCACTGATCTGCCCCCTCACACCCCTTCCCTCCCCTCTCCCCTTCCACCACAACAGACTTACCAGCTGGAGGCAGCTGTATTGGAAATCAGATTGGTATTAGCCAATATGCCTCCTTAAATATTGGCTATCAGTATTGGCCTTCAAAATCTCTATCGGTGCACCCCTAATAAAAATCTGAGGGTACCCCCACAAAAGATTTGTATATTAATCATATGTCCTTTCTGTGACCTCAGCTTTCTTTTCATCCATCCCATTATTCATATGAAGTCATAAACCAGGGATCAATGTTTTCCACT